AAGGGGTATAGTTGTTAGTTGCCCCTGAGTCCAGTCCAGCTCCTAGCAGTGCTGTTCCTGTGTGCAGAGTAGAACTGTTCCACAGGGGTTTCCCAGCCTACAAGAAGGTTGGGAAACTTTCTAACCTACAACCTAGCATAGCTCCATTAACCACTGAAGATTCTAACACCAGGTTTTTCATTTTAATATGTGCTTAACATTCACAAAGACAAGAAATGCAGCTTTTACCTACGAAGAGGCTAAGAGTATCGTGATAAAAATTATTGTTGGTATGGCCATACAGAAGCACTGTGTTTACGATTATGTATTCGGAGGAGAATATCACTAAATGCTACTGAGTTTTCTTGGCTGTAATCTTTCTTTACGAGCAGGTAACCAGATCTCTCTATTACAGTGCTGCGAGATAGGCTGAATTGCCATTCACGTAGTAGGTAGCCACTCGTAGGTCCCTGGGTAGTGTAACTTCTATCATGTCAAGTTTATTTTAAAAATTTATTATAGGGGAGATCTGGTGGCCTGGTGGCAAGAAGCTGCACTGCAATCCCAGAGGCTCCCGGTTCAAGTCCACCAGATGCTCTGCCGGGGAAGGAGGGACAATCTCCTCCTGTACCAGTCAGATCTGATTTGACAGTACATACACACACACACACACACACACACACAGAATAAAATAAAAACAAAATTATTATGTGCATCATTGTCATTTACCATCGAGTCCGAACTGCCCCATAGCTGACCATCTAGTGAGTTTTCAGAGGCGGTTTTTAAACGGGGAGATTACTCCTCTTTTTTTCTTGCATTGTAGCTGGTGTGTTCAAACTGGTGCCTTTGGGACAGCAGCTCAGCTCCTTACCACTAGGCCAGCAGAGCTCCCTGTTGTTGGCACATATTCATAAATGCAGATAAAAGATATTGTGAGGCACTGTAATGGAATGTTGTTAATAGTACTATAACTACACGTGATTTCTAGTTTTCTTACATAAACATTTTTAGTTGTATTGATAATTCTACACTGAGCATGTAGTACTTTTAAAAAAATTTTTAATTGGTTTCCATATAGATTATACAGTACTTTTTTTGGTAACTTTTGTAACCTTTCAAGAGTGACTGTAATTTTACCGTTAACTTATTAATTGTGCAAATATCAGTTTAAGGTAAATTAGAGGTTAATGATACTAGTAATCTGTGCATTTTAATATACAATGTATAGAGTTGAATTATGCTTATAAAAAGTTGTGTTAATGTGTTCTTAATGCAGGAGACTCTGTTGCCCAAAATGATTTTCCTTCTGAAACTCCTATCGCCTTCAATCTTTCTCACAGTATCTGCAATCCCATGTAAGTTATTTTAATTTTGTATTTTTGTCAATATTTTTTTTACTGTTTTTTTGAACAGTCATTGTGGTTTTGCTTTGTACTTGGTTCTCCAGGGTTTTTGAAAAATGTGAAAACTTTTACTTTTTAAGGAAGCAGGAAAGTTCATCAGTTCATCTGCTCTCACTAGGATCCCAGAGAGGCTGATCCTTCCTGTTTCTTTGAAGGTCCCTGGTGTCACACAGTGTCTTCCCAGTGATAGAACCATGTCAAACAGCAACTGCTTTCTGAAAGAAGAAACCCATTTTTATAAGGGTGCCCTTTGCTAGGAAAAAAGCTCTCACTGCTGTCAGGTTGGAACAGACTCAGAGTGGGTCTGACCCAGTGTGATTTTCAGAGGTGATTGCCCATCTGGCTTCAAGCTGCTGGAGAGGCACCACCTTTGACTTAATAGCTTGACACCCCACAAACTAGGCAACCTTGCTCTTGTTATTGTTGGGTTCCTTCAAGTACCACCGATAGTGACCCTGTGAACAACAGATCTGAACCCTGTCCTGTCCTGCGCCATCCTCACACTTCCTGACACTCTAGAGTCTAGTGTAGCAGTCACTGTGTCAGTCTGCCTGGTCAAGGGTCTTCCTCTCCTTCACAAACTCTCTGCCTTTCCAAGCACGATGTGTGAACATCTCATGGACTGCCAAAAGAACGAACAAATACGTCTTGGAAAAAGTGCAATCAGAGTGCTCCTTGGAGGCAAAGATGGTGAAACAGCATCTCACATACCTTGGGTATGTTACTAGGAGAGGCTATTTCTAGGAGAGGGACATCATGGTTGGAAAGGCAGCCTTGGTAGAAGTTGAGATAAACTGAGTACTGGTCACTCTCAGCAGGAGGGAAATACAGAAGAAAAATAAAATTCACAAAAAGGACCAGATTTACTAGTCTGACAGACACTGAAGGAATCCCTGAGACATTGTCCCCAAACCGCCTTCTTGACCTGAAATTGAATATGTTCCGGGGACCACCTTTTAGCCAAACAGTAGACAGGCTTGTAAAAGAAACTTAATACCCGCGAGGAGGGTGCATCTTAGACTAAGCGGTATGCACAGCCTTTGCCCAGAAGCAGAGAGGAGAAGGCGGGGAGGGTAGGAAGTCTAGAAGAAAGGAAATGGGATGCAGCCAGTGTCGTGAAACACCATGTGCAAAGTATTGAACGGGAAGCTAGTTTATAGTGAAAACTTCACCTAAACAAAGCACAAAGAATTTTTTTTTTAAAAAAACTGTTTGTTAGATCAAGAATAAAGAACATCTCAAGGCAAGTGAATTAATTGCCCAGTAAACTAATGATCACTTAAGAAATATAAGTGGTTATTAATTGTGGATGCTTCATTATTTAAAGATTCTCGAGTATTATAAAAAGATTTCAAAGACCATTTGAGTAATCCTTCTGTCCTAATTCTTCTCTACCAAAAAGTTACTATCACAGTACTAGTTATACTGTTCTGTGTGTGTTCATGGTCTGTGATGTCGTGTTCTCTAATTTCCAGAAAAAGTGCTCTCAGTTGGGAAGTGGTGCATGAAAAATAGTATGAATCAGAGTGATACAAATTCGTGCATTACATTATTTAACTGTGGAAAGCAGAGCTATAAAAAACATTTTACATTTTTAAAAAATTCAGAGCATTTTGCAAAAAAACTCAGCTCACAAACATGCAATCCACTGTATGGTGATGGTCAGCAGACCAAATAAACATGTATTTTTTGTTGAGTGGGATGAGAGTTAACAAGGAGAGGGCTCTTGGGTGAAGACTGAAAATGGATTTCTTTGGTGCCTGAAGTCTTACTCTGAACCTTTTGTTGGATGTAGACAGTGACTCAGCACCAGGCCCACCCCCTCTCGTGGGTCAGGGGTGACTCCTGACAGCCCTCCATTGGGTTTCTGAAGCAGTGAATCTAAGTGAGGAGACTGCCCAGCTCTTCCTCCTGTGGGGTAACCGGTGGATTCGAATCACTGGCCTTTCAGCAGGCATCCTGACACGCACCACACTGGGCCATCAGGGGTCAGTATGGAAACCTGTTGCGAACTGGTGACAGGCAGTTTTGCAACTGCACATTACAGTAGTGAATTTTTTGTATGTTTGTTAAAACCAGATTTTGCTTGATGTTGGGAGCTGAATATTCTGCAACCCCTTTATGACTGTGTCCTTTGATTCTGATGCCATATGATGTTCCTGGAGGAAGAAGAAATAGAAAAATTCAGTTGACTGTTACCTTTTGCAGGAAAAAAACCAATGCATAATCTTCTTTTCTCATTTGGCCTCCAGAGACGTGAATACTCTCTCCCAGTATGCAGAAACTCCCTGTCCCAGCCTCCCCGACGTGCCTTCAGGTGTGGATGAGGATAAAGGTAAGTGCGTGCTGTCCAGGCACCAGCTACGAGTTCTGCCTTGTTTTCTGCGTAGTGATCTAGAGAAGAAAGAGTTTGGGTGTGGCAGGGCTGATTTTCCATTGCTCTCTTCTCTAAGCCTTGTCACAAGAGTTTTTGTGTCGTGAGGGCACTTGTCCTGTGAACCAACATCATTGGGAACTTTGCTGACCCTTCTGCCTCCAGACCTTGCAGGAGTGCTGGGCCCTTTGCTTGTAGCAGGGACTCATGGTAGTAGGCCAGAGCCCATTCCTAGATGGTTAACACTGCCATCAGTTTGCCTTTCCTAGTCTGAGATGAAAAAAGAAAATAGAGAGGCAGAACTCGACTCGACAAGAGTAGAGGTCAGGTTGGAGAGCGTGTCAAGGGTAAGAGCATGCCTGTGTCCACATTCCTAGCCCTCTCCTTTTTCCTTCACAAACTCACCCTGTCCTATAATACTATTAGTTTTACCTCAGCTGCCTAGGTGACCAGCCTGGCTCCTGCCCTAAAGGCTGAAACCCAGAGCGGAGCTTCCTCAGAGACCTGCCAGGTGCATGAGGAACAGTGGCCTTGGAATGCAGAGATAAGAGAGAGTCAGAAAAGGTTCTACACTCGGAGCTCTGATGGATGATTCAGTCTCGCTTCTCCCTGGTGGTTCTTCTCCTCTTTTGTATCTCTTTGCCCTTGTTATTCATCTGTTCTGTTCTGACTTTTCTCTTCTACCTAATTCAGACTAGAAATTGCAGTAGGATGAGCCCAGTTTTTACCTTTTATGACAACATTGAACTTGCCTTTATTTGCTTTTGAGAGTATACAATCAGTGCTGGATTTAAAAATTGCTGACCACTTGGAGCATTTACTTTGGAAACGTATAGCATCTGTGCTTATTTCTTGGATAAGTTTTAAACGTGCTTTCAAATGTAGCAAGAAATTATTTGTGAATTGAGTCTATTTACTGATCCAGAAAAAGACATATTTTTCAGTAAGAATCTGCAAATTCAATAATTAATAATGTAATGATGCAAAATTTTGAAGACGTTTAGATCATACTTTTTTCTTTGACATAATTGAGAAGACATAGACCTTAATGATTGGTGAGGAAAAAGAAAATATATGTGAAGATATCTCATTTAATATATTTTGTTGTTACCAATTGGAGAGAGAATTATATGTAATCTAGTGTCCTAATTCATGGTTTTGTGTACATTTCAAATGCCTTTTTTATTTGCTGTGTCCACCCTTTGCTGCCCAGCTTAGATTCCCTGATCCAGGCTATAATCACATTTTTGATTCTTCTTCCATTGTGCATTTACCTTACAAGACCACAGTCCTGATTTTACCCTATCTACTTTGTTATTTTACATTTAAAGAGAAGCTAGGGAGCTCTGGTGGCCAATGGCAAGAAGCTGTGCTGCAATCCCAAAGGCACACGGTTCAAGGCCACCAGTTGTTCTGTGTGAGAAAGATGGGCATTCTCCTCCCAAGCTATTAACTGCCTCTGAAAGTCCGCTGGAGGGTCAGCTATGGGTCGGTTCCAAAGCTATAGCACACAACAGCAGAGAACAACTTTTAAACAGTGAACATGCTTATTGATCTCTCAGAACTCATGTGGCCTTAATAGATATGGAGTTGCATTGGCAATCCAAAGATAGGGGTTCCCTGGTTTGAATCCACCAGCTGCTCCTTGGGAGAAAGATAAGCCATCTCGTCCCAAATGATTTACAGCCTCTGAAACCTGCTGAAAGGTCAGCCAAGAATTGGTTGAACTTAGTGATGTTAAATTGAATTGAGTTGCATCTTAAAGTCCTGATGGTACTGTTAAGCCCTTGACTGCTCACCAGAAGAGAAGGTCCGCTATTTAAATCCACCAGCCACTTTGCATGTGAAAAAAACGTGACAATCTGCTTTATAAAGATTACAGTCTTGTGAACCCTGTGGGGCAGGAAAACTTACTGGAGGGCTGGCCGTGAGTTGGTTCCAACGCCAAGGTACACAACAACAATGAGTCAGAATCAGCTTGGTAAGAAGGATGCACTTTTTTTAACTTCACATCTTCCCTTGGTTCCTTCCTTTCTCCTCTTTTGGCCTCTTAGATGCCTTCTGTAATATTACATCTCTTAATTGATCTTTTACTATTTTACTGGAAAAGAGAGAAACAACTAGAACCCTCCATAATGTTCCCTCTGCCCCATCCACTCACCCTGCCACGGTTGGGCTAGGCTTAGCTTCTCCCTTCTTAAAACCTGTCTAATTGTCTGCACAGCCCTGCTCCCTAACAGTTTCTAGGATTGTTCTAGCCCTCTGTCATCATCAGTTCTTAAATGGATTATCAGTATAAGCATATATTGTAATACCTGCCATAATTAAACACAGCTTTGAATCAGAATCATTATTTGCATGCCTCTGTAGCTTTATTTCTTTGCACTTCTGTTTGGGAATATTCCTTATAACTCTCTGTATTTGGTTCATATTCCTGTTTTCTTGAAAACCACTCTAATCTGATTCTGACACCATCACTCCCATGAAGCAGTGCCTGTGAGGGTCCCCAGTGATTTCCACATTGTTAAACCCCACAGTCAGCTCTCAGCCTTCCGTGTCCGTGCTAATGACAGGCATTAGATATTCTAGTCTTACTTGGAAACCCTAGGGATCCCAGTTTAGTTCTCCCTCTTGTGACATTCGAGTGCTCCACAGTGCAGTTTGTGGTGGTCATCTCTTCACTATCACTGTTCTCTCCAGTTTCAACAATTAAAGTAAGACCTTCACTCTGACAACACTCATGTTTTTATCTTCGACATAGACCCTCTCTTGAACTGAAGTATCTTATGGTCGGCTACCAATTTAATGTCTTATTATCCTTCTCACAGTTGCCCCAAATCGAATGTTTCATCTTCTTCAAATCTGCTTCTTTCTGGATCTTCCTGTTCACATTTTTTTGATGCTCAGGCCTAAAACTTAAGCACTGTTCTTGACATTTCCCCCCTTAACTCCGACTGTTGTCCGTTTTCTGTTTTTAGATCAGTCCACACTCTGATCATGTCTCACCACCTCCACCATGACCTCCACTATTATTACCCGGTTTACGCCATCTTTATCTCTCAGTGGCGTTTTCACAGTAACTTCCACTCCAGTCTTCCTGGATCTACTCTCTGCCTGATTTACAGTGTATTTTGAACAGTCTTTGGTGTAGTGGTGATAAAATATTCAAAGTCATCTTACTGTCAATGATCGTGGAAGGTCTGAGATTTTAACCGACTTGTAAACAAACAGAGTGGCCTGCCACTAATTTTGTAGATGCTGGCAGAGGACAAGTCCCTCCTGGATTAGAGAAAAAGAACTTTTAGCACAGTAACAGCATGAGCGTCAGCAGATTTGTATCAGTTCCCCTTGTCCTGTCCTACGTGGAGGCAATGCAAAAGGACCGTTTCAGCTGCCAACACAAAGTCAGTGGGTTGCAGGAGAGAAACTCTGAGTGTAGGGAAACCTAGAGCTTTGTGGCCTGTGAGAGACAGAATTTCTGTCTTCTGGGATTTTCCTTAAAAATAATCCTTGGAAAATTAGATCAAAACAAAGTCTTTTAACAAGTTCAGAAACATAAGCAACCCCTTGAGAATTGTCTTGCAATAGTATATGCCTCTTGTTTCTACATAGTCTTGTTTTGTGGCTCCTGTTCTCTTGAATCACTCAATCTTTGGTTGTTGATTAATCTGACTATCTAAAGAGCAGAAAATGGACAAGGGGCCACTGAGCCGTGAGCATCTTTCTGAAAGAGCCAGAGGGCATGAGGATCGCACAGCCCCTCTCTGCCCTAGAGCAGAGAGCAGCTAGAGCCCAGCTTGATGGTGCCTCTCGAGCCATGGCAGCAGCAAGAAGTTCATTTATTCGTTACTGGCTCACAGGCTGTATTCACAGTTGTGGTGCCAAGAGTGGAGTTTATTAGGGAAATAAGTTGGAGAGTGGGGGAGGATTATTTCACAATTCAAGTACAAGTTTGGTCCAGCAGTCCCAAGCATGATTAAGAGCCAAACACAATTCCTTAATTAGAAAAAGGTCTCAGTTTCAGTTCAGAAACACGAATTCAAGAAGCTTCTGGTTTCCTCAATCATCCAGCCAGCTTTGCCTTAGAGCATTTATTAATCAGCTTCTCCTTAATTATCCAGCAAGCACAGCAAAACCTTTAACTGTAACCTTTATCTCAGAGCTTCTCTGCTTACACCTTGCCACATTTTCTCTACAGCAATGCCACAGTCTCTCCACCACCCTCACTAGGATCTTGTTCCAGTCTTTCTCAAGTCTTTATGCCCACTGTGATAAACACTCTCTCGCATCCTAGTTCCACAGCTGTTGATAATTTACAGAGCATGTGTCTGTAGTTAAGTTAGCTGGAGACCAGAGGCGGCTAAGGTCATGGCTAAAAAGCTGTCTTTATGCTAACTGCACTGACCAACAGGGTCAGAGCCAAATCTGTTCCGTTTGGCTCATATAGCATTAATTAATGCTATTATTGGTACTCCACCAGCAGGCTGAGGCCACCCTTACAATACCTTCCTCATCCATTCTCCATATAGTTTTTGACTTAATCATCTAAACAGGTCCTATCAACCATTAAGACCTTCTTTTGAAAGCTAGGTGATGGTGTCCATAAGTTATTTGACTAGAGGCATGAGGTGTAGTAGGATGAATTAGTCATTGCACAGCGATTCCACCATGGCCCCCCCAAAAGGAGGCTAGAGCAGTTATCTCATCAATAACAACACTGGCCCATGAGCTGAACTTGACCTGAGTGTTTTCTGAGCATTCTAATTGGATGGGTCCTGTCATAAGGATAATTAATTATCTGTAAGACATGCCTAAGTAACACCTATCCTTCTGGGAAACAAACCAGAGTCAGGAAGGGTAGACTTGATTCAAATTCACGTGCTTAAAATAACTGTTATAATCAGAGCTACATAGAAAATTCATAAAACTTGAGATCTCTTTAGATTCCCTGGAGCCTCATATTCTTGCTGGGGAGAGTCAGGGTTTAAATTTTATTTAATTTTACAGATCTTCTTTTTTTTCTTTTTTAAATTTTATTTTATTAATTTTAATGAACACTTACAGAGACTTTGGATTTCCATTCATTCATTGTTGCATTTTTCTCCCTGCCCACCCCTCCCCCTGGTTCATGCTTCTCTTTGAAAAGTAAAAGAAAAATTCCTTCATTGGTATACAACCCTCCCCTCCCCACCCTGAGTACACTCCACTATGCAACCTTCATTCTGGACTCTTGTCGTAACCATAATACCTAATCATATATTGCTTTTCAACTCTTAACTAAATTTGCATCATGTTTTTAACAAGTCACTCAGTATCTATGATAATTCACGTAATCTATTACAAACAGCTTTTTTTAAAAAACCAAAAAACCCTGAAGCATCGGGCAGTGGTGAGCTCTTGAACTTGTATGTATGTAAGGAATAGGAATACGCACATCATCAAGGAGGGTGATGGGTGTGTTGGAACCCGTTTCTAGTGATTTGTTCACTCATTCCCATGGTTATAAAAATTTAGAGACATATGTACAGACTTACACATACAACTTTTTGTGTTCAATCTACGTGCACATGTGCACACACACATATTCATAGTTTCTCTTTCCCGCTTCCTCCTGCCCTCCCTCCCTCTTTCCCTCCTTCTCTCCCTCTCACTCTCTCTCACACCTTTCCCCTCTCTCTCTCTCACCCTTACTCTTTCATTCCCCCCACTCCCACCCACTTTGGTCCTTATCCTTAACCAGGGAAGCAACTAACAGAAAAAGATCATTCCAGGCAGTCAGTCAGTCACTAACCACCTGCAAAGGTGTGGACCAGCAGAGCTGGGATCAGAAATGTTTAGGTTTCACTTGAAGGAGACTCTTCCAATGTTCAGCAATACCATCTGCCTGTGGGTAGTTGGGAGTGTGACAGATCCACTGGGTAACTTGCTATTAGCACACTATTGGATCTCTTCTAGTCTGGAAAGCAAAGCAAAACAAGACATGATACAGGTTCTTTTCAGAGGCCTAGAACAGGGCCAGCAGCTCTGCTTCGGGTGGCTGAGTGGAGGATGAAATCATCTCTTTGTGAAATAGCTGTCACTTAGTCACATAAAGCTGAGCTGTGGCTGGAGTTGAGCCGATTTAAGAGCATCTTGAAGAGCATCGGGCATATTTCCATCAGTTTCCCTTGCTCTCCGTCCGCGTGTTATGGGGGCAGGTTGAACAACGTAGGTCTGCCTGCGTCTGTGCCTAGCAGACAAACAGTAGCTTCCAGAACCCAAATCATTTTAATTGGGCAGTACTGCTTGCTGTTTGCTCCAAAGGAAGATGCTGTATTTCCCAAGGCTTTTGCTTTAACAAGCATCCTGGAAGAGATTCAAAACCAGGCAGTCCCTGCCGCTGCCTGTCTCCCATCACTGCTGGAGCATCACTGCTCCAGCCCTGACGCGGCTTCCTGTCTGACTCCTAGGAGATGTCAGAGCCTGGAAGTGTCCCGCAAGGCTCTGCACTCTGGCTGCCAGGTGCTCGATGACCTCATCTCCTGCCCTTCCCTAAGCCTCCTTTCTGGCCACTTTCATGTCTTTGCTGTTCTTAACTCCCTCCCATGGCAGGGCCTGCCCTTGGTTTGGAGCTCCTTGCCTCACTTCCTCCCCTCTTTAATCTGTCATCTCAGCGAGGCCATCGACTGCCCTGTAGGAAATAGCTGTTTGTCGTCATAGCACTTACCACTGTCATTTCACCTATACTACTTTTCTCTGCTGCTACTTCCTGCTCCCTTGACTGTAAAATTATTTTCTGCTGTATGTTAGGGCTCTATAATGGTCCTTTCTTGCATAACTCAAAACTCACTACTATGGAGTCAATTCTGACTTACAGCAATCTTCTAGGACAGAGTAGAATTGCTCCATAGGGTCCCTGAGGCTGGAAATCTCAAGAGTTAAGAGCCGATTGTCTCTGTTTCAATTTGAGTGGCTAGTGGGTTTGAACTGCCAACTCTGGTTAGCAGCTCCATACTTAAGCCACTATAACATCAAGGCACCTTTCTTGTGTAAAGCAACTGATAAATATTTATCTGGTGAACTTATGATTCAGCTCTGAATGGATGGAGTACCACATAGTCATATAGGGTCTATTATATACTTCAGCATTATATCCTGAAAAACCATCATGAAAGAGGCCTATGTGTGGGGTGACAGAAGGGCAGAATGAGAGCCAAGGTGGGGAAGGAGGTGTACTGAAGATACACATTCTCTCCATAGGTCTTTACCCACCTGGAGACCTGTGGCCTACCCAGCCAGTGTGTCTGACAAGCGGCTTAAACTGCAGTCTGGAGAACAGCGTGCCTTGTGTGATGCGAGAGCCGCCTCCGGTTCATAATAGGTACCACCTCACCTCCCTATATGTGCCTTGCATTGCCTGAAGGTTTGTGGTCAGACTTCCCACCCTGGTTGTTAGGCAGTCCTTACAGGAATTTGGAGTAAGCTTTCTTACCTGAATGTCCTTGTTTAGCTGTATGCTTTTGTCTGCCTTTTGGAGTTGTGCCTACTGTGATGTTTTTCAGAAAATAACAAACTAGACATTATAAAAAAATACCATTAAAAGAAATAAAAGTCATAGTCTAGTCTCTAGACTAGAGACCACGTCCTTACTTTCGTTTTTGTAATTGAGATGGTATAGCAAATAGCAGAGGCTGAAAAATGCCGGTCAGAATTCCCACGCCCTCACAGGGTGGGATGAATCATCAACTTATTTAAAAATCTAAAGGATCAAATAGGTTAAGTACTCAAAAACAGTCAAAGAGTAACAGTTTCTTAACTTCATTCTTTGGTATTGACATGTCATTAAATTAAGAAAACCTGAGAAAAAGTTAATACCTCTGTTTAATTACAGATCCATTTGACCATTTGTTTTCCTTATTGGTGTCCCTGTTTTTGGTAATAGTATTTATTCCACACTCTCTGCTTTTCCACAGTGCAAATCGAGTTAGTTGTAGGGGTCAGAGTATCTACTATGAATCTGATTCGCCTAAATGATGCTGACTTTGTTCTCTGAGTGAAAGATAGGACTTTGATTAGCAGTTCCTAAGTCCTTCAGGTGTATGCTCTGACCTGAAAGGTCGTCCAGTTTTTCTGTCATGGTGCTAATCGATTCTAGACCACGGAGCCTGTCTCTAGTTAAACTCAGCAGACACTGTTCCGGATGAGGCAGTCTCCTGGCCTAGCTGTGTGTCCTGTAGTCTGTGTGGTATATGAGTGTTCAGTCAGTCCTTGAGTTTGTGATTTGAGAAAGTGTATCTTTTCCAAAATTGAGGCAATAGCAATGGGTTAGGATGCTGCTTAAGATAGCAATGAATGACATGGTTCAAAAATTAGAAAAAGAGAGCAAGTTTCTAAAATGTAATAATTCCTCCAAATCTTGTATCCCTTAAAAAGTTGTTTTCCTCATTTTTTACTTGATCTCTTGGCATTTTATTTCTGAAATGACCTCTTCTTTATTTTTTTTTTTATAGCAGTTTCATTGATTGGAGCACAACCTGTGAAGGCCAGTTTCCTAATGTGTACTGCCCCCTGGAGCTGAATGATTACAATACCTTTCCAGAAGGTAAAAAGCTATTTGAACAACTTCAGTCTTTATTTTCTATAGGTTGAACAGAAAGTGTACAGACTTGGGGCACTAACCCGTGGGAGACTGTACTTTCCATCAGTGGGCCAGCTTTTCAAAGCATTTTCTAGTGTGCTGTGGGATGGTACTATGTGGATCCAATTGTGTGTGCCTGCTATATGTAATTATATATGCCTCTCAAAATGTCCTCTAAATCTAGGTGATTGAAGGCTTCTACAGAGAACCCTAATCCATTTAGCCCTTCATATCCCATAGAATTGGGTTGTTTGATTCATGCGGTCCTGTCATGCTTTGGCATCTGTTCAGCACCTAACAGCACCAGAAGCAACAGCATTGTGGAGTGTCCATCGGGGCCCTGGGGCTTTGGGCTATGCTTTTTGGCAAGTAGATCTCCAGGCAGAAACATTTGCCTGCATGCTCAGCCACATGTCCCCCTGGCTGGCACTCGATAAGAAAAGAAATGAGCTTGGTAGGGGTGAGGGGGCTTGGAGATGGCATGCAGCAAATTGAAGATGCTCTGTGGGCTTCCTTATAAGTTGGTAATGTTTCAGTTAGAGTTTTTCATTTGTCAGGTTGCACATTATAGCCTGCTTATGATTTTTCATAGTCCTGATGCTTTCTAGAATTGCTGTCTTAAGGGAAGGATAAGCAGGTATATCAAACCAGACTCATTGTAGGCCTTTAAGGAGAGCTGACCTGCTTTGTGGGATTTCCCAGGTGCCTCATTTTTCCCCACAGCGTGGCCAGTAGGTTTGAACCATTGACTTTTCAGTTAAGAGCCATGCACTTAACCACTGTGCTACCAGTGCTCCTTCTAGTATATTTTATTGTTGTTGATTGCCATCAAGTCGAGTATGACTCATAGCGACCCTATGAACAAAAGACCTTTCTATAACTTTCTGTAACTATCGTCGTATCTCAAAGTTCATAGAATTTCCAGAGGCATGTGGTCGAGGAAGTGGATGCCACTCTTTATTTGTTGTTGTTGTTATGTGCCGTCGAGTCATTTGCGACTCATAACGACCCTATGTACAACAGCCCTAAACCCTGCTCTGTCCTGTGCCAAACGCATGGCCTCTGACATACCCATCCCAATCACTGAATCAATCCACCTCATAGAGGGCCTTGGCCCTCCTGCGCCGTCTCTACACCCTCCCAAGCATGATGTCCTCCTTACAACATGTCCAGAGTATGTCAGACGAAGCCCCAGAATCCTTGCCTCCAAGGAGTAGCCTGGTTTAACCCTCTCCAGGATGAATCTGTTTGTTTTCTTGGCAGTCCATGGTACATTCAATTCTCTTCTCCAGCACCACAGCTCAAAGGCGTCAATTCTCCTTCTATCCTCCCTAGTCATTGTCCAACTCTCTGATGCATAACAAGTGATTGCAAAGACCATGGCCTGTATCAGGCACACCTTAGTCTCCAGAGAGACACCGTTACTCTTGACTACTTTAGAGAGGTCCTTAACAGCAGACTTTCCCATTGCAATACGTTTTTTGATTTCCTGTCTACTGGTGCCAAGAGTGTTGACCGTGGTAGGTATTGCTATTACTGCCTCCGGGAGCACTGATGACCACTAAGTGACTAAGGAATTACACTGCCAAGCCAAAAGCAGCTGGTTTGAATCCACCAGGTGCTTCTATTTGAGTTATAGCCTCTGAAAACCTGCTGCAAGATCAGCTACGAGTTAGTTCCAATGCGGTTAAATCAAACAGCACTGAGTTGAGGGGTGGGGTTTATTTGAGTTTTATTACTGTTTTTCATCTGTGCATTTCTCTTTACTAACCACAAGGGGGTGCTTTAGTAACTTCCTTCCATATGCTTTTTTTTTTTTTTTTAGATTTTAATAATTTTAATGAACATTTACAGAGATTTTGGATTTCCATTCATTCATTGTTGCACTTTTCTCCCTGCTCAGCCCTTCCCCCTGGCCTCCCGCCCCAGTTCGCTCCTCATTTTGAAGAGTAAAAGAAAAGTTCTTTCTTTGATATACAATCCCCCCGCATCCCCCCCACCTCCCTAAGTCCATATGCTTTTGAGCTTTTGTATTTACTGCCTTACTGGTTATTATGTACCTGCTTTCAGACTGCTTTTATCTGCTCTCAAGTTAAGTGTTCAGGTGGCAGAGATCGGTAGGACAGGTAACAAACGAAAATTTTAAGGAATGGTAAAACATCTTGACAGTTTTGAAATCTATAATAGTATTTTAGTGTACATCTCATGGTAGAAATTTTCCTACCCAATTATCAACTATAATTACCACTGGAGGGTCATGTTTGAGTCAGTTCTGACTTGAGGGTACATAACATGACAATAATTACCACATATAGAAAGACAAACCCAGAGAGGGACCTTCTTTGCTGAGGATCTCCAGGTAGTGTGTATCAAGGACAATTTTAACTTTGAGAATGATGATGAAATTACATAGTTCATATCTGTCCTTAATGTGTTAACAGACTAAGAACCTTGTAAGCTTTTTACCTGAGAGTGAGAGCTCCCTTCTCTCCACGAGGATATTTGCTTATATTGATGTCTTCCCTTCTTTGTAGAGAACATGAATTACCCCAATGGCTTCCCCTGTCCTGCAGACGTTCAGACGGATTATATTGATCATAACTCACAGTCTACCTGGAACACCCCAGCCAGCATGCCCACTGCTTGGGGACATGCCAGCTTCATCAACTCTCCGGTCAGTGTCTGTCACTCTGTGCATGAACTCCAGGACAGCTCCCGGTCTTTCCCAGTCTTTCTTTAATTCCCATCTGAATTGGTTTTAGAGACCCTGCCTTTTTGGTTAGCAGTGCAACATGTAACCCACCATGTCAGGAGTTCCGGCCAGGTTTAAAGTTGGATTCAGATTAGCCAAACTTGGCTTATTTCTCTTACTAGATTCTGGAAAGGTAGGGCTGGCCACCTTTGAAGGGAAGGGGACATGTAATCTGAGGGTTTGAGGGTATTGATGTTATACCCTCCCTGGAGTGAAGGAGACTTAGGGCACAGAGGCATGCTGGTTTTTAAATGAAACTGACATTGGGCCAGTGCACCTTATGTTTAGCAGAGCTGTTGAAGGTGACATTGTGGTTCAGGAAATGTCAGTGGTCAATGAATCAAGTCATTACATCCTCCTGCTTCCATCCAAGGGTCCCTGCCTCCTCCCTTTCCTGTCCACTCTGTAGTGTTTTACAGATGGAAGGATTTGACCTCCGTTGAGTAGAAAGTGAGTCTCTCTGTTCAGGTGAAGATTTCACAACCCCTTATGTGAGAAAAGTAGAGTTAAAATGACCCAGATTGTTGAATCTATGTAGTCTAATAACTTCTGAGTACCTTGGGTGGTTGTGTGCCCCACTTCTAACCTGAAGGTGTGGATCTGATTTCTGTAAAGATTATGCTCAGGAAAGCCCTGTGAAGCTCATCTGCCCTGGCGCACATGGGTCATCTCTGTCAGAATGAACTTGACAGCAACTGGCCACAGTTGATAGCTTGTGTTGTCCTCTGTTATATATTCAACTTCCTACCTATAAAGCCTTTTAAAAAATAATACACCTATTTGTCGTTAGGTGCTGTTGAGTTGACAATGACTCAGTGATTCCAGTGCAACAGATGGAAATCTTACCCTATCCCACACCATCCACATGGTCTCTGATATGCTCAGGCCAATTGTTACAGCCACTGGGTTAAACTACCTTGTTGAGGATCTTCCTCTCTTTTGTTCCCAGTGTGGTGTCCTTTTCCAAGCACTGACTCCTCCTGACAACATGTTGGGTCCTCCTAAAGGAAACACAACCTAGTTGCACTTTCTGTAAGACAGATTTGAAAACGTTGGTTGTTTTTTGTTTTTTAAGTGTGTGTGTGTGTGTGTGTGTGTGTTTTTAAATAACTTTTTAAGAATGTCTTTCTCCTCCCATTTTCACCCTAGCCCTACCTCACAAGCACACGAAGCTTGTCTCCAATGTCTGGACTGTTTGGTTCCATCTGGGCCCCACAAAGTGATGTGTACGAAAACTGCTGCCCCATCAATCCCACCACGGAGCACACGACTCACATGGAAAACCAGGCGGTCATGTGCAAGGAATACTATCCAGGGTTCAACCCCTTCCGTGCCTACATGAATCTGGACATATGGACTACCACAGCCAACAGGAATGCCAACTTCCCGCTCTCTAGAGACTCAAGTTACTGTGGGAACGTGTGACAGGAATTTGGCTTTTAACAATGTGAATAAAGATGCTTGTGTTTTGATTACTAGTGTGTAAACTGGTTGTTGAGCTAGATTATGACATTGGTGGATATTTTGGCACTTTTATATGAAAATAAATTTTTTTTAATGAAATCTGGTTACTCTTAGTTTTTTTTTTTAAACCTTGTAAATCAGTGGTTAGGGATTTGGCATCATATGCCCTAACTTCTTAATTCAAAAAACGTGTCAACTAGACCTTGCACTTAGAGAACACACAAGACTCTTAAGAAGGAAAAGCGGGGGGGAGAGAGAAGTTCTTACTTCATTGAGTAGCCCCCGTTCCTGGGGAAGTTTTCAAAATTACAGAGTTGCTTAGGCCCTTCCCAGAGGCTTTGAAAGCACTGATTTGGCCTCCAGCACCAGAAATGTAATTTTTTTTTAAGTACCTTGATTTTAAGGTGCAGCCAGTGTTGAAAACTACTAACAAGGGAAGCCAGCTTAGCAGGAAGTCATTGCTTGGACTGACCCTGCTCAGAGCTGGCGGGCACTTTTCTGGTCGTGCTATGGCATGGTTGCTGGGGATGGAGCACGTGGCACGGTGCATGCGTGGGGAGCACTGATTATCATCATCATCTGCTAGTCACTGAGGCAGCCCCAGCACAGGACGTTCTGGTAAGTGAGTAGTTTCCCATTTTGAGTAAAGCAGCTTTACCCCAAGTACTTCGTTGGCTTAATAGCTGGTGCATGTTTTTGCAGACTGGTTTGTATCTGCTTGTGAGTGGCATTAAAATTCAGTATTACAGTGGAATTGACTATTTGCATGCCTAAGCTAAATTTAGAAACATTTTTAACTTTACATAAATTTTTTTTTCCATTTTACTGTCTATATTGGGAATTCCGTAAGAGACCTTTGAGTGTAATGCTGTGCTTGCTTTTGATGTTTTTCTTCTCTGTGCGGGTTGAATGGAGCCCTTGAACAGCAGAACGAGTGTAGAGCACATTAGAGTTGCCCTTTGAATGTGTGGGAACACTCCTGACCATGCATAGCTCCTGGGACATCCCAAGGTTGCCAGGTTAGAACCCTGGCTTGAGTGAAGCAGATTCCTTTACCTCCACTCTCACCCAAATTTGAGTCATGGTAAAGCAAAGACAGCGTTCGCTGATTATTTTTTAAAAGACCTATGCACTTTAACATATGCCATTGGTGAGAGTATGAGCCATTTAAATGTAAGTTCTATGTGGTATTTTTGTTAATCTAGTGTATTTCCTGCTTCTGTTGATACATCAAGTCTTCTGGAATATATGAGAAATTAAATGAGTGCTCATTTCAGGATTATGACAGTACTTTCATGGATAAAAATCAGCATTAATCTGGTCTCCAAAAGGAAGAAAACTAGATGGTATACCAGTTGACATATTTCAGCTAACAG